AATTATTTACGAAGCTGCCAGTTGGATAGACTACTCCCTTTAGACTTATCCGACATTGGACGTGGATTCTCCATTTTATGGGTGTCTTAATAATCTGTCTCAAGCGTTGATGGATACATTTGTATTAGCACACATCGCAGTAACTTTATGCTAGAGCACATTTGAGATAGGAATTAGGTGCTGCAATTAAAATCTTTTTTTTTCATCTGTGTTGTCGTAAGAGTTCTCAATTATATTTCCTGGTAAGTAACTTTGGGTCAACTGAAGAGATACCTTCATTCTTTGCTGGAAAGTCTTGTTTCTAGCAAAGGGTGTTTTAGAATGTTAGGGGAAGATACTAAGACATTATATTTTGGACAGCTATGTGCTGTTAAAAGATGCATGACACATTATAATATATCTCTTTTTTGTTATCTATTACACGAGGGTGCAACAAAATACTTGTTATCACGAGTTTTTCATATTTTTGGAAGAAGAATGTTACAAAAATGTCACTTTGTCAGCAGAAAATGGAAGATATAATAGGAAAATTGTTGAAAAAGTCCAGAATATATTGCACTTTTGTCAATTCAGTCATAAACCTTTTAATTGTACCAATTGTGTATCGTCCTTATCTTACTCTCAGGGTTATTAATTTGACATTACAGGCTTGTCACCGTCCCGTTTCTTTCATCTGATTATTAAGTACATGCGGAAACGTGTATAAACAAATTCCCAAACATAATAACAGCTGGAAATTAGGAAAAGCATAACAGGCAAGACACATTATTGCCATTTTACTTAAACATATTTTATATGCCTTTTTTTCCATTGGCCGTTCCACATACAAATCATATCACAAGCGAAAGCCGAGGTTAATCCTAGCTCCTCTATGTCAACCTCAATCTTACGGACCTGAAAAAGAAAACAACGGTGGATGAGTCTAGGAGACTCAATGAGTAAATTCTTTAATACTTGTGTAGGATGATACCTCGCCGTTGTACTAATGCATATAAATATTTTCCCCGCCTTATGTCGATGGCAAATCAATAACAAAGACTTTGACCTTGCTCTTGCTATGTTCACATGGAAACTCTCATTTATCCAGTCACATAAATTCGGCTTATCAATAAACACACATACCGGCACACATATAGAATTCATTTATCACATACCGACACACATATAAGATTCATGTATCGTCATCTTGGCTCAACCAGGGCATCCCGACTCAACCGAGGCATCCCTGGGCTAGCTCACCCGAGGTATCCGGGCTCAATCAAGGCATCCTAGCTCAACTAGGGCATCCCGGCACTAGTTTATCGAGGCATCCGAGCTCAACCTAGGCATCCTAGCTCAACTAGGGCATCCCGGCGCTAGTTTACCGAGGCATGGCTGTGTGACAACAGTCTTCTTCTTTCATTTAGTGATCACACATCATAAGTCACACAAGCCAATTTATTATCACTTATCTTAATCGACACACACAAGACCTTAGTTGTTATGTACACATGAAAAGCTCACAAGCTCATAAAGCGTGGTTAAGAACATCAACATATCACACAAATTACCGCATCCAAATGTCATGTAACCATGCATGAGAACAACGTAAAATAATTCACACGGGGTTCCTTTATTACATAGCCAAAATCCATCGGTGACGGTTTAGTCCCTCGTATGATCATCAAACAATCCGATTCTTATCTCGATAATATTAGCCCATGAAATTGTGCAGTGTTTGTGTGATCCATGCTCTATAAGGAAAATCACCTAACTTGCGGGTCGTGGTCAAGGGCACGTAGCTCGGTCAGCCATACTGAGCGTCGGCTCGGAGACGAACTTGGCCTGGATCTACACGCCTCAATGTAAACCCGCACCAAGCCAAACTCGTCCCGTGACATCACAACATGCGTACGAGACCATACGACACCGCGTTTCGTGACTCGTACATGCCTTGACTTGTAACCATGAAGCAAAACAACAAGCACTCGCTCAACATCACGTCACATCAAATACGAAACATATGTAAGACATGGAAAGAATCAACCACGACCAATCAAATGACCGAACACTGTCCAAACAGACAACGTCACAACGCATCTAATTTTCCTTTCTGGATATTAGGAAATTCACTTATATGCTGCGTTCCAACCACGTAACACACTGTCCTATCCAAGTGTTAGGGAATCTACTCACCTATAAGCTTAACAAAATGTCTACGGCGGTCAACGGTGGCCAACGGCGAGAGAGAGAGATGATTGATGTGATGGTGAGGGAGAGAGATAGACGTGAGAGTGAGAGATGAGAGGAAGAAGATGTGATGTGTGGAAACTAAGGAGGTAAACCAAGCTTATTTATAAGAAAATCACTAACTTGTTCACCAAGTTTAAAAGTCAAAGCTTGCTCCTCAAGTTCTTGACTCTCCAAACTCTTCCAAGTCAAAATTTGCTCTCCAAGTTCTTGACCATCATGAGACTTCTTATGCAAGCCTTTAATTGAGGCCACACATCTCTCATTTAAAAGCTCAGAATGTATAGATTTTGTTTTCAGAAGACATCGAATTGAAATTCCAATGTTTTCATATAGAAATTGATGAATAGTTGAAATCTGGGAAAATCAGGCAGTTTTACACTGTTCAAGAAATCGGACTTAAAAACATAGTAAATGGACTCCAAAAATTATCAAATTTGAATATGTCATAACAAAGGCCTTAACAAACATTTTCCATGAGGAACACAAAATCTAAATCTTTCTGTAACTACAACTTTTAGTAGCTCAAACACAGACTAAAAACAGTTCGCTGGAACAAAATCTTTGCCTCTAAAAGTAAGCTCTTTCCATAATCCAAATCATCTCCAAAAATTCCCAAATTTATATATGTTATATATAAAGAAGTTCTCAACGAATTTTGTGAGGAAGTTTGTTCAAAATCGGCTTAGAAAAATTTGTAGAAAATCGAGAAAGTGTGAACATCACAGAAATACCCATTCTGGGCAGTTTTACACAGTACGAAAATTAGGCTATCGTACTACTCATATCAAGTCCAAAAATTCTAAAATTAAAGTATGTAAAACTTCAAGATGTTTGGAGAAACTTTTAAGAAGGAAGTGTCTAGAAATTCGGATCACAAAAGTTTTCACAAAAATAACAAAATAAAGGGGTACAGAGGATTCAAATCTGGGTTTTACATAACAAGAGTAAAATTAGTTCCAATTGGGGAAAACCTCCAAACTTAACCCACAGCCATTTCCCGGGGACTGAAATTGAGGATGTTACAAATTGAATTCTAAACTTCTTCACGTTTTGATAATTGAGTCTAACCGGTTAATTTTGGCTTGAAATCGCTAACGTGCACGCCAGCCGTACTACGTGGCATGACTGGTATTGACGTGGATAATTTTTAATAATATTTTAATTTTCTTGATTTTAATTTAATTTTCTTTTATTCTTTTCTTTTCTTTTTCCTTTTTTTCCTTTTCTTCTATTTTCCTTCTTTACTTTTTTCTTTTTTTTTCTTTTTCTCTTCTTTTCTTTTTTTTTTCTTTTTTCTTTTTCCCCTTTTCCCTCCGCTGGCCATCACCGCGCCTTGTCGACACCGGCCTTAAGTGAGAGCTACCCTCTCCGAGCCCTCGCGACAAACATGAATACTCTACCTTGCACGGCTCTTCCATGGATGTGTTACCATACCTCAACCGTTGGTACTCCTTTGTTGATACAATGTATCAACTGTTGAAAATTGATTAAGGGAGTTCTGTGTTCGGTAGAGAATTTGATTCGCATATATATATATATATATATATATATATAATATATATAGAGAGAGAGAGAGAGAGAGGTACTCCTTTGTTGATACAATGTATCAACTATTGAAAATTGATTAAGGGAGTTCTGTGTTCGGTAGAGAATTTGATTCGCATATATATATATATATATATATATATATATATAGAGAGAGAGAGAGAGAGAGAGAGAGAGAGAGAGAGAGAGAGAGAGAGAGAGAGTTTGTTAGGAGCTTTTTTACTGGAGCAAGTAGGTTGATTATGTCTGAAAAAACAATTGAGTGGGTCATTCTTAATACCCAATTATTATTTGTCACATTATTTAGTTAACTAATTTTGTAAATCTAGTAAACATAGAATTCTCTTTTAAAAATATCATGGCCATATTGGGCTAACAATGGCCGCTACCTTTTTTTATTTTATTAATATAAAAGTAATACAGTGAGATGAGAAGATAGCAGAGAGAGAATATCATCTAAGCATCCATTTGTTTGAGGGAAAACTGTTTTTGAAAAATTATTTTTGACTTTTCGGTGTTTGGGTGACGTAAAATTAATTGATCTACGGAAAACATTTTTCATGGATTGAAAACAACATGCTTATTTTTTATAAGAAAGACATTACTTTTCTTAAACCATCAAACAAAAGAAAACTAATTATTTTTCTAGAAAATTATTTTCATTAAAATTTTTTCCTTTATCATTAACTTTTCAGTGGAACAAACGCACTCTAACTCTCTCTAGAGTCTAGACTTGGGAATTGTGACTAGATGGGTTTTCGGAATCAAGTCGTCCGTGTCCGGATTAATACAAGTTTGGGTTATAAAGTGATTTTATTTTTAAACGGGTTGGGATTTAATTTGCCGCATGAGTCATATCCGTGTCTATCCTTTGAAAAACCAGTGATCGCCAAAACGTTAAACAGAAAATCTACGTATTGATAGCAACTCTATGATAGTTTCTAAATGAAGGCTAAATAAGTTTTCTAAAGACACCACAAGAAGTATAATATATAGAGACCTCAAATCACTTAGGACCTTTATATTCCTATTCCAATCCCTCCGGCGGTCAGAAAATGCATCACACGTTTTACTCCTCCACCAGTCAAACTTTAAAAAATAAACGACCGGCACCAACTGCAAGTCATCGACACTTATCTCGTTCGGACACTTGGAATTGTTGCTCCAACTTCCCTCCTTACTCGACTTAAAAGGGCCAAAAAGAGAAAAGAGAGAGAAACAAATAGCTTGCAGGCAACCCCAAACCCTAACCATTCTTGACGATGGACGATATCAATTATTCATCATCATCCGCATCCTCTATATGGCCCGAAGTGTTCTTGAGCTTTAAAGGAGCGGATACGTGCAGGGATTTCGCGGATGCCCTCTACACCGGCTTGACCAACGCGGGGATAAGCGTGTATCGAGACAAAAGGAAGGCGGGGGCAGAAAAGGATATTAACCCCACGCTGGTCGAAAAGATTGGACAGTCGAAGATATCGATACCGATCATCTCGCCAGGGTACACTTCCACCAAGAGCTGCCTCATGGTGCTGGCCAAGATGTTGGAGTGCAGGGACACCATGAACCATGCCATTATTCCCATTTTCTATGCCGTCAAGCCCTCTGGCAATGGCTCCTCCGCAGATAACAAAAGACGAAGGATCGATCCCATGCTTGCCGACCCCTGGAAGTCCGCCCTCCATTGTATTGAACAGTTGGAGGGATATCGTCTTGACCAGCAGACCGACGTGTAATTCTAATCTACTTTCCTTTGCCTGTACCTCATAAATTCCAATGCGAAGTGACTGATGTTGAATTATCAAGTTTTTGTAGATTATCTTTGAGACTTTATGGCCGCCCGGTTACACTCTATGCTTTGAAATGGCTCCAGAAGAAAGCACGATTGTGGTTATTCAAAAAGTGGCCTTTATTTGATTTTGGAGTTCTTTTAGTATCTTTTAAAAATCTTTTTACTTCCCTTATGTCGAAGGTGGGAGTGGGACATCGATAAATTCTCACCTTGCACATGTAAATCCTGAGTTCGTACAAGAACAAGCCATTTATCGAATTGAAATACGCCGTTTGGATAACTACTGAGTCTTTAGAGACAACAAAAATCATGCAGGTTACCGGTCTGACATAATAATAGTTGACCCAAATCATGATTAAGAACTGATGTGGAGCATACACTAATTCCACAAAATTTACAGACTCTCGATTCTGTGTTGTGATAGATTCTATTTGTCATAGTCGTACATGGCTTTTCCATAATGCTTTGCCCTCGTGGGTCACTAATTGGGTATAACTCAAGTATTTTGCTTCATTTTTTTGCCTTTCTTGTTATTTCTTTCTATAGTTTCTCATGATTAAACGTTGCTTTTATTTACTCATTTGGACTGTTAGGAATGGCAAGCTTATATCCGAGATCGTCTTGTATGTCACTCGGCAGCTGAAGAAAGCTGAACTAGTTGGTACTTCCATGCCAGTTGGAATTGAGAATCAAGTCCGTGAGATGATGGTGAAGCTTGACGTCGACTATCGCAACGGACAAGCGGTTAATGTACGTGGCAATGAGGTCCGAATGGTCGTAATACATGGCTTCGAGGGGATTGGGAAAACGACTCTTGCGAAGTTTGTTTACAACCAACTATATCCTCTGTTTGAAGGCTGTAGCTATCTGGGAAACATCCGAGAGATATCAAAAACCGACCCCCTGGAGCATCTGCAAAGCCGAATGGTTTCTGACCTGCTAAAACAAGAGCACATCAGCTTTGGTTCCCTAGAAGAAGGTATTTACCACATTGAACAAATGTTTCTCGATAAGAGAGTTCTCATCGTGCTCGATGATGTCAATAAACAGGATCATCTCGAAGCATTTGCCGGGAACCTAAGCTGGTTTGGTCCAAGAAGCAGGATAATTGTAACGACCAGAAACGCCGATCTTCTTAATATCCCTAAAGAAGTTGTGATTTATGAAGTTGTGCGTATGGATTTTAAACAATCCCTTCGTCTTTTCTGTCTACATGCTTTTGGGGGAAGTTCTCTGTAACAGCCCGAATTTCGACGTAATTCCAGGATCAATAAAATTAACAATATTTCGCATTTCATTTTAGTAAGTCTCGCCCAGAGCTGATCACTCTCGGGATACTAACCAATGGGGTATGGCTAACTAGGAAACGGTACGTGGACTAGGGACTCGATAGTGAACGGGACACCGATCTCGAGATACGATGAGTGAATATTTTGGGCCAACGTGAGCCGATCTTAGGAAAGGTGATGGATTTGGTTTGGCCAAGGCCAACGATGTACAATCGGATCGCAGGTGATTCTGCAAGACCGAAAGTGCACGTGGCCAACCAGTCCTGAACCTGAACCTAACGATCGTGAACTTTGGAACTAATGATAATTTCTCATTCTCTCAATGATCGGGACCGTCGTAATTCGAATAACCCTAGGTCGATACGCGTATGTCCTAAACAGCCGCCCGTTAGTGAGAGACCCTGAAATTGGAAATTGAGCGAGTTTTGATCACGAAATTGGGTCCGGATTTCGATGTTGATTTTCGAAGGCTTAAGAGACTATTTTAGGAATCTGACGTCATATTACGCTGGCCACACACGTTTGGAGTTAGTACGAGCAAAAAGTGGAATTTCGGTCCGGGGGTGAAAAATTACGGTTTTGCCCCTGTGGGCACCGAGGCTGGATTCGGAGGCCGTTTGAGGTTATTTTTCGCGGCCAAGATCATTTTGGGGTGGCCAGGCACATTTAGAGTGGTTTTGGCCAAAAATTGGAATTTCGACAAAAATTGGAAAAATAATATTATTTTATTCCCGAAACTTCGTAGTCGATTTTCGAGAGCTTAGAAAGTGAATTTCGCGAATCCGACGCCGTATTATGTTGGCCACGCACATATGGAACACGTATGTGCGAAAATTGGAATTTCGCCCCGGGACCGGAAAAATGACGGTTTTGCCCCTGGGCCGTTTTCGGGTCCGAATTTTTGGGAAATTTTTGGGATAAGTAACTGTGGTTATCAGCTGCATTATTGGCACCAAAGACCCAATTGCCCCTCAATTATTTAAGCCTATCTCTTTAGAACCGTTAGATTAGGGGCGTTTTGGTCATTTTTCACGGATCGGCGACACGTGGCACTTTGGGCTGCTTTATTTGACCAAGTTGGACTGTTTTCTCTCTCCTCAGCCCTCCCTCACGGCAGAACCAGCCCCCACCAGCAGCTTCTCTTCCATTTTCCTCTCTTTTTCTCCATTTTCTCTCTTGGTTTTGGCTTCGCCGGAATTTGCCGCCGGCCACCGGAGTGCCGCCGCCGACCGCCGTGCCCCGCCGTCGACCACATAGTCCCCCAGCTTCAGCCTCGCCCCTGTCCAGCCCTTTTCTCTCTCCCTTTCTCTCTCTTTCTCCCTCTTTTTCTCTTTCCCGTCCGGCAAAAAGGGTCGCCGGAGCTTCGCCGGAGCTCGGATCGCTGTTCCGTCACCACCCAGCCGTCCAGCCTCGCCGTGCGTCGCCATCCAGCCCTGTCCGTACGGTGTCCGTACGGTGCTGTTCATCGCGCCCCGTACGGATCACTGTTCATCTCGACCGTACGCCGTCGCGGCCGTCACCGGCACTTCGCCGGCCACCGTTTCCGCCCGTCCGTACAAGTCCTTACCGCGGTGAATGGGGCCGCGTGAACAAGACTCCTGTGAAGGCAAGTGCGGCGTGAATGCACGTGCCCGTGAATTCCGCCGCCGGTTTCACTGTTCATCAGTGATCGGCCGCCGTTCCCCGTCGTCGTGGTCCAGAAATTAAGTGAGTAAAATTCCTAAACCCGGATTGGGACTGTTAGTGCGTTTTTCTGGACTGGTTTAGGTATTATCGGTACAATTTAGACTGGCTTAGATGGTATCAGTGTGTATTTCAGACTGGGTTGAGGACGGATTGGTAGAAATTATCATTGGGAAATTTAGTGGATTAATGAGAATTAATTGGGGAGATTAATTGGATTAAATGACCAATTTAGGAGCCCGTTGAAAAATTACCGGGTATGTCCGGATTGACTGATTGTACGTCAATTGTGCTTAATTGTGATTGATTTCGTACTGCTATGTCGTATGTGGTGTGGCTGATTTTATGGAGCGCGATTGGCCATTGTTTGGTTTACAATGATTTACTGATTGGTGAATCGCACGTTAGGCCACACGGTATTAATTGGGCCAATTAAGCACGTGTTGTGACATTGGGTGTCTGAATTATATTGGTGCTCGTGGTGCATTGCATTGCATAACATGGACACGCATTGCGTATGCCAAGAGTGAGGCATGTGATGAACTTGCGTGAGAATGCGTGTCTGCCATGAGTATGTAATCACCTAAAATACCCTGAAGCGTTATACGCTGGGTTCAGATAATAATGAGTTGTGTGATCACCTAAGGACCGTTGGGTCATGACCTTCGGGTCGATACCGTCCTCATGCACTTTGAAGCAGGACGATGCCCGGTACGTCCGGAAGGCGACCATCCTCATGCACTTTGAAGCAGGCTCTGGTTCGCAAGGAGAACAGTGTTGCGCCTCATGCACTTTGAAGCAGGCTAGAGACACTGGGCCAGATCGGTTGCTGCGCCTCATGCACTTTGAAGCAGGCTAGACGCACCGGGCCGTGAATGTTGTTGACTCGAGTCGTAATAAATAATAAATTGGGCGATTGTCAGTGTGCCAGTGTGGGCCAGTGGGCCGGGAAATACACGTGACATGTCGACAACATTTGCATGCATGAACATGCATGGACTGGCATGCGAGTGTGTGAGCCTCGGTGCATGAGCATGTGATTGGCGTACGTGTGATAATATGTGCCACGTACGTGCCGTGATTATTATATATTGAACTGCCTAACCTGCAGGGTCGGAGGATTAATTGATTATTGTTGCACTATGGTTTCACTTATTTATTTTCCGGTCAGGAGATTGCATGCTAGCCTAGCCTAGGTTTAGGGGTTGAACTCACTGATATTCGTCTCACGGTTGTGTAAACCGAAACTTTTCAGACCCCCAGCCGTAGGATGCCGAGGAGAGCGCCTCTTTTTGGTTTACCGCAGTTCATCCAGCGGTCATCTAGTGTGCACCCTTGTGGGGACGGACCTGCAGCCATGGTCGAGGAAGCTGAGGAGCCGAAGTGTTTTTCATTGACCCCTTTTGACTGAGTGGCTGCTGACTGTGTGTTTCCTCTGCTGTTGTCTAAATGAATTGTGTAAAAAGTTTTCTTTGGTACTACTAGTATACATACTTTCAGAGGTGTTGTTTGCTGGTTGTGCTACCTTGGCCTCATGTATTTTATTGTCAGGGTGTATATATATATTTATATACGTACTTCCGCTTGTGCTTGATCTCTGTTTGGGTTTGGGTCGGCGACGCTTCCTGGGACGTCGCAGCCAACTTATCGACCGCAGGTGGGATGCTCACGCTTCGTGGGGTACGGGGCGTGACATTCTCCCCGAGAGAACTATGATGGTCTGTCCAGGCAGATTGTTTCCACAATTAGAGGGCTTCCTATAGCTATTGAGCTTCTGGGTTCATTTCTGTACAGGAAAAACATGCAAAAATGGAATGAGACGATAGAAAAACTAGAGAAAGAGAAAGAGCCAGTGGATTCCGTCCAACAAGTGTTGATGACTAGCTACAAAGCTCTAGATCAAGAGACAAAAGATATATTTCTCGATATAGCTTGTTTCTTTATAGGGAAGGACAAGAGAATTCCCTTCTACATGTGGGAGGACTGCGGTTTTAATCCTAGTAGTGATATCGAGAGGCTGCTTCTCATGTCCCTGGTGAGAATCGAAGAGAATAACAAGCTCTCGGTGTATGATCTATTAAGAGACCTAGGTCGAACAATTGTCTACGAGGAAGACCCCATGAACCCTGGAAGGCGCAGCAGGCTATGGGATAATGAGCAAGCCCTCAATACCTTAAAGAGAAAAGAGGTAAAAATATCCTTGTTTTGCAATTCTATCCATGTTATACTTGCTTTCTGACGCTAACCAGTAAAATTCACTCATTTTCTTCTTTCAATCTCCAGAAAAGGAGAAAGGTTCAAGCCCTCTGTCTCAAGCTCGACAATGGTTCACACAAATGTTTAACACCTAAAGAATTTGAAAGCCTGTCCAAGTTGAGGTTCCTCAAATTGGACAACGCAAATATCGAGGGAGATTTCGCGAATCTACTTCCCCATTTAAGGTGGCTCGACTGGCGAGGGTGCCCCCCGACCTTTCAAGTCGAGAACTTGTGTCTAAAGAATCTGGTGATTCTTGATTTATCATGGAGCAAGGTCACTCAAAAGTGGGGGGGTTGGAGTCAAATCGAGGTGACATGGAACATATTTTATTTCGTTTGACTCATCACGGGGAATTAACTTTATCTGAAATATATTTTATTTGGGATTGCAGATGCCACGGTTGAAAGTTTTGAACCTCACAGGGTGTAATGAAATGCAGATAACTCCCAACTTCTCTGGTTACCCACAGTTGGAGATGTTGATCCTCGAAAGCTGTTTTCAATTGGTCATGATAGACCCTTCAATTTGTCATCTAAGATTGTTGGTTTCCATGAATTTGAAATCCTGTGGAAATCTCAGTGTGTTGCCACAGGGAATCGGTGACATGGAATCGCTGAAAGAGCTTCTCATAGATGGCACTTCCATACAAGAAATACCTGAATCGATAGCTTGTATGAAGAAACTCGAAACTCTTAGTGCCTCCAATTGCTACTCACTAACTAAGCTGCCCAAATCCATTTGCTTAGAAGCTCTTTCAATGCTCTTGCTGGACAATGCGAAGATCCTCGAACTCCCCGATTCAATTGGAAGTTTGGTGAAACTTAAACGGTTGTCGTTGAGGGACTGCCAAGAGATGGAGAAACTTCCAGGTTCTATCGGCGAATTAGGATGCTCATTGGTGGAGTTGGACATATCGAGGACGCTTATTTCAGAACTGCCTGACTCCATGAGAAACCTGCAGCTATTGAGAGTTCTTAAGATGGAGCGTTGTCATGTGAGAAAGTTTCCTAGAGCCATTGGCAGGCTAAGGAAGCTTGAAGAGATCCATGCCTCCCACTGTAGGAGTTTAAAGGGAAGCATTCCTAGTGACATTGGGAATCTAAAATTCCTGAAAATATTGATGCTAGGATATAGTTGTGTTTCTAGCCTACCACCGTCAATCCAGTCGCTAAGCCGTCTCCAGATCCTTGATTTACTTGCTTGCGACAACCTTGAAACATTGCCGATGCTTCCCTCAAGTTTGACTTGTCTGCGCATAAGTTCAAAGAAGATGAGCATAATACCAGATCTTCAGAATTTAGATGAATTGGAAGACTTGACCTTCGGGGATGAGAATCCCAAGGAGCTGATAATTCCTCCCTTGGAGTTTGACCCCGCATCCATTTTGACCGAGCCACAGTCGCTTTGGCCCGTAAGGTTTCCAAAGCTCAAGAGCTTTGAGTTGTCTCATTCCCAACTCACCGATTTGGGATTTGAGTACGGCTCCACGTGCAATTCTCAGCTCAAGGAAGTTGTCCTGAAGGGCGGGAATCTTCGAGAAGTATCAAGGCTTCCCCTATCGTTGTCCGTCTTGTCGATCCAAGCTTGTTTGTCGCTGCAGAGTTTGCCGACAGTTTGGAAATTGGCTAACTTGTTGGAGCTAGAGCTCTTGAACTCGGCTGTCAAAGAGATTAAAGGGCTTGGAGGGCTAACAAGTCTAGAGATCCTGGTCGTGTCGTGTTGCCGCCAGATAGTACATCTCGATGGCCTCTCCAATTTGATATCATTGAAGAGATTGTCTCTCAAGAACTGCAAAACCCTCGCCAATTTGCCCAGTGTATCCAAGCTCACCATGTTGAAATGCCTGGAAATCCATCGATGCCGGAGGATCCGCGACATCGAAGGCCTCGAGAAATTGACATCCTTGGAGGAGCTGCGCGTGAGTGAATGTAACGCTGAAAGATCATCAAGAGTAACAGATGCCCAGGAGAGAATCAGAAGACGTTGGAGTGCATCCCCTTGAGTGTAATCATGATGTCATATGATGTGTTTGGTTTTTGCATTCATTGTAAGAGACTGTGTCCAATAATATTTTTATTATGATTTTAAATTTCTCTCCAGGCTATTGATGGAAAGTGGAAAAACTAATCATTCTTGTGTTTCAATTTATCCAAGAGCAGAGAAGTCGCATGTAATTAGACAGTTTAAGGTAAAATGGGGAAAATTGTTCAAAAAGTCTTAAACCTATTGCATTTTTTCCAATTCATAACTAAACATTTTAATTGTATCAATTGAGTCCTAAACGTTTTCATGTTTTGCCAATTAAGTCCATCCGGCAAATTTTGACTGGAAATGACTGATGTAGACTCTGGTGCTGAATTGGACAATTTTTAATAATATTTTAATTATTTTCTCCAAATCATTTTCTTTTCTTTTTCCTTTTTCTTTTCTTTATTTATTTCCTTCCCATCTTTCTCTAGCCAGTCGCCGGGCCTCAACAACTGGCCAAAGGCAAGGGCCGGCAAGGTCGATCTCGCCCGCCTTTGGCAAAGCTTCCCCCGCTGACCACTGGCGAGGGCGAACCTCACCTGCCCTTGGCAAGGCTTGACCTCGTCGTCGCCGAGCGAGCTTGGCCTCGCCAGATCCGGCAAGGGCAAGCCTTGCCCACTCATGGCGAGGTCGAACCTCGCCATGTTGAGCCTTGCCTAGCCATGGCGAGGCCGACCTTGCCCAGAGATGGCGAGGTCAAGCCTTGCTGGCCCTCACCTCTCATCGGTCATCGGCCATCGCTGAGGCCTGTGCGACCGGCTAGAGGAAGAAGGGAAGAAAAAAAATAAAATAAAAATTCGAAAAAATATTAAATATTGTTAAGAATTGTCCACGTCCGCGCCATGTAGGACGACCGGCGTCCACGTCAGCGATTTCTAGCCAAAATTAGCCAGATGGACTCAATTGGCAAAACGTGAAAATGTTTAGGACTTAATTGGCACAATTAAAAGATTTATAACTGAATTGGCAAAAGTGCAACAGTTTCAAAACTTTTTGGACAATTTTCCTAGTAAAATGAAACATGATGAGGGCCAATTATTAAAGCTTTGGAAAAATATAGGACTCTATTATGAGTAGGTTGTCTCAACGACGATTGAATTTGTGACAACATAGACGGTGAGACCCACAACATGTAGCACTTCTAAACCAGGCATTGCGCCGCTTCCGAGAGTCATTTCCTTTCCACTTAAAAGAATACATATAAGTTCTCTCGAATCTTTTCACTGCGTGGCAAGTTTGCCACATGGAAGATAACGCGTTTAGTACCCACGAAATAGCACTTCTCAACAACTCTAGTCTGACTTCAGATAATTGGGACAGCGAAATTGAATCTCACTGTCTGGTTCGAATTTACCACGACGCGGTCAAATCCAAGCAAATCTTAAATTGAAATTGAAATTAAAGGGCGTGCCGTATTTGGGAGAATAAAAAATAGGAATCGAAATATTGGAATTCAAAAGTAAAATGCTTTGATTCAAAGGGCAAGGAGGATAGAAGTTTTCTGTACATTGTGTGACGGTAATTGAAATGCGACTTGAAAATTGAAGGAATATAACTTATAATAGATGTTAATTCATAATCAGTCTTCAAGAATCCCTGAAGGCTTCTACCTCCAATTGGACTTGCCACAACGAACACAGGTTAGGGCATCCGGGTTTATAGCCCGGATTGCTCGCCGATGCTTAAGTTGGAGTTTGGAGGAAGATGGCCGATGCTTAAGTTAGAGTAGGGACTCGAGAGCTCCAAACCTGTTTCTCAACTTCCAAACCTATTTATAGTATTTGTGGGCCTTTCTACTTTGTCCATCGGGTTGGTGTTGACAGGTGGTGATCAAATTGTGACAAGTGTCAGTCACGACAAATGGTAATAAATCATGACAAGTATGATGTATCTTGGCACGTGACGGTCAAACAATCTATGAGGTTAATGGACGCTTAATTCTTTTGATAGCGCTTTCATCGTCGATATAATTTTAGGTAAGATATCTTGTCAGTGTACTTCTAGCCCGGTTGACCCATCTTGACTTAGCGCCTAAGTTGTGTTCTTTCTTCGTCATTCCCATCCTGTCGGATAGGGGTACTCTCATCTAATGGGATCAATATGGACACGTATCTGACACCTAATGGCTTGCCAAGCCCGTTTTAATAAATAAATGCTCAAAGTCAGATATTGAAAGTGAAAACGAGATTCATATTTGAGCTACAGCTACGAACATAATAATCAACACAAACAAAAGGGCTGAAACAAAAAGGTGTTGTAAAAACTTCGAAGGAATTTTGGCAGACATTTTACACGATTGAGCGTCTTCTTTCTTCCTTGTTCTTGCAATTGATCGATGAAATTTTGGCAGGAACAGTTATTTCTCTTATCTAGAATGAATCACAAATCTTGTGTATGATTTGTCCGTCGCACCTCTCTTTCTATCTCTCAATCACACATGAACACAAACCCACATCCACACGAGCAAATCTTCAACGAGCCTTAACACGTTTTTATAATCGTTCCTGAGTAACTAGGGACGATCTGGGAAACGACCCAAACGCATCGGGACTTATACCCTCCCAATGGAACGTTAGGACAAGTGACTTGTGTGTTTGTGGTAAGGATTATTATTTGGTCCATTATTAGTGTAGAAAAATCCTTGTGCATTCGTCATTGGATAAGTGACTTGTGTATTTGTGGTTAATTTTCTAATGGAACCTTTCCCCATGTCAAATTTTGTGCACTCAATAGATATGCACGGGGAAAATTACCAAAAAAGTCCTAAACCTATTGCAATTGTATCAATTCAGTCATAAACCTTTTTTTTTTCCAATTTAGTCCTAAACCTTTTGCAATTGTGCCAATTCGGTTCATCCGGCCACTTTTGGCCAGCTGGCGCTGACGTCGACGCTAGCCATCCGTGTCATGCCCCGTACCCAACGAAGCGCTAACATCCCTACCTTGGCCGGTTATGGTGCAACGCTCCCAGGATGCGTCACCGACCCAAACCTGTAACAGCCCGAATTTCGATGTAATTCTGGGATCAATAAAACTGATATTATTTCGCATTTCATTTTAGTAAGTCTCGCCCAGAGCTGATCACTCTCGAGAATACTAACCAATGGGGTATGGCTAACTAGAAAATGGTACGTGGACCGGGGACCCTATCGTGAAACGGACACCGATCATGAGAGACGCTGAGGGAATATTTTGGGCCCACGTGTGCCGATCGTAGGAAAGGGTAATGGATTGGGTTTGGCCAAGGCCTACAATGTACAATAGGGACGCAGGCGATTCTGCAAGACCGAAAGTACACGTGGCCAACCAGTCCTGAACTTGAACCGAACGATCGTGACCTCCGGAACTAGTGATAATTTCTCATTCTCTCAATGATCGAGACCATTACGATACTGATAGCCTTAGGTCAATACGCGTAACCTCTAAATAGCCGCCCGTTAGTGAGAGACCCTGAAATTGAAAGTTTAGTGAGTTTTGTTCACGGAATTGGGCCCGGATTTCGGTGTCGATTTTCGATGGCTTAAGAGACTATTTTTGGGAATTTGACGTCATATTACGCTGGCCACACACGTTTGGAGTTAGTACGAGTAAAAATTGGAATTTCGGTCCGGGGGTGAAAAATTACGATTTTGCCCCTTGGGACGCCAGCGTTGCTTTTCGAGGCCAATTGAGGTTATTTTTCGAGGCCGACGCCATTTTTGGGTGGCCACGCATACCAGGAGTCGTTATGGCCAAAAATTGGAATTTTGACAAAAATTTGGAAAATAATATTATTTTATTCCCGAAACTTTGCGGTCGATTTTCGAGGGCTTAAAAAGTGAATTTCACGATTCCGACGCCATATTATGTTGGCCACGAACATATGGAACACGTATGTGCAAAAATTGAAATTTCGCCTCGGGACCGGAAAAATGACGGTTTTGCCCCTGGGCTAATTTTTGATCCGAATTTTTTGGGATAATTTTGGGATAATTACCAGAGGTTATCAGCTGCATTATTGGCCTTATTGACTCTTTTGCCCCTCACTTTTTGGATAAGATTAAATTAGAACCGTTAGATTAGGGGCGTTTTGGTCAAAACCGCCGGATTTGCGACAAGTGTCGCCCCTAGGCTGCCATGTTTGACCAAGATAATACCCTCTCTCTCTCCTCTCACCCTCACTCTCGGCCAAGACCACCAGAACAGCTCTCTCTCTCTCTCTCTCTCTCTATTTCTCTCATTTTCTCTCCCGGCCAAGCTTCACCGGAGTACACCGCCGGCCACCGGAGCGCCGCCGCCGGCCGTCGTGCCCACCATCGACCACCACAGCCCCCAGCCTCGGCCTTGTCCCTGTCCGACCCATTTCTCTCTCTCTTTCCCTCTCTTTTTCTCTCTTTTTCTCTCCCAGGTTAGTACCGCCGCCGCGTCGGAGCCTCGCCGGAGCTTCGCCGGAGCTCCGATCGCTGTTCCGTTGCCACCCAGCTGTCCAGCCACGCTGTACGACGCGACCGTACCCGTCCGTACAGTGTCCGTACGGACGATACTGTAGCGCCGTACGGGTCGCCGTACGTACGGCCGTCGCGCCGGCCACCGTCCCGGCCTGTCCGTACAGTGTCCGTACATGAGTTACTGTTCATCGCGTCCGTACGGTCACTGTTCACGCCGTCCGTAAGCCGTCGCCGGGAATTTCACCGCCGGTTTCACTGTTCACCAGTGATCGGCCGCCGTTCCCCGTCGTCGTGACCTTGGATTAGGTGAGTAAAATTCCTAAATCCGGATTAGGACTGATAGTGCGATTTTCTGGACTGGCTTAGGTATTATCGGTGTATTTTGGACAGGCTTGGGTAGTATCAGTGTGTAATTCGGACTGTATTGAGGATGGTTTGGTGGAAATAAAATCCGAGGAAATTAGTGGGATTATTACGGATAATTGTTGGGCCCGGATTGAGGAAATAGCGGCTGTCCATATTTTTGAGGAATGTACCGGATTATAATGGACAGCAAGAATTATTAGCTGAATGGCC